TTTTGCCGTATGAGTATACGTTGCCCAGGGTGCACCACGTTGAGGTAAGTCTATCGCACACCCCACAAAGAAAATTCATATAGTTCAAAATGTTTCACGAAGCTTTCACATTATTTAATCAACTAGGTAATATTTTACAACTAAAACCCAAAACCGCGTTGAAGAAATATCCACTATTACACGAAAATTGCTCTCATAACCTTTTCAAGCCCATCGCCTTCATCATATATTTAACTTTACATAAAAGCTATTCAACTAATAACATTCTCACTAATTAGCAACAATATTTTTTTGAAAACACTGCGCTTTTGTAAGATGATTTATAATGCCAAATCGTACGGTTCACTTCAAATTAGAGACTTATTGTTCTACTGTAGGGATGGCGCCTATGTCGTTTCTGACTCGAAATTAAATTGAAATGAGAAATAGGAATCAATTTATTAGGTGTGACTTTGATGCAACCCTTGTTGTTTCAGTAAACTCAATGTTACTACTATTATTATTATTTCAAACGACAAGCTTTGTGATAGATATCATTAGGTCTTTAGTTGACTTCGAGCTTCATAGAGGGGAGGAGTAGACAAAGCCACAAAAAGTCGAGAGGGGGGAATAGAAGAGTGATTCACAGATGTAAAAAGACAGACAGACACAAAGACAGAGAAAAGGTAAGACATGTAATGTGGAATATGACAAACAGTGGGGTCATGGTAGTTTGAAGTCCGAAGTCAACTCCTGAATTGTAGACATTTTGATTGCATGAGTAAACATTGCCCAGGGGGCACCAAGTAGAGGCAAGTCAATTGCATATTCCGTAAAACTCAGATACTTCTCGATCTTCAATTCTAACCCATTTGATCAAACTTTACATCACAGGGAAGAGTTGCGAATATTTGCCACACCTTTATACAAAAAGTAATTTTGATATCATGAAAGTAAAGGTGTTTCAAAGTTAAATCGATTCAAATACCCACTTGTCAAGACCGGTTTTATTTAAGAAGAATGTTGAATTAAACTCATTAAGCCCCACAGTAGAGCATTTATTTCAATGTTAGAGGGGGAAAAGATCGTTATAGAGTGGAATGAATTTGATCAAGACTTATAGACCCTAACTAAGTTTATTGTCTTTAAATCATAAAACACATAAGAAAGTAAATTACTGTAACTCCATGACTAATTCTTTATTAAATTTATCCCATGGAAGTGAATTAATTCAAATAATGGGAGGTAATCCATACAATTTAAACATTTTCGTGTGAGAAAATGAAGAAACTAACACTTCCCATAATAGACAGATCGCACAAATCGACGGCTCAAATCAACAGACTTTAAAGTCATTTTTCCACTCACTTCGTTCCATTAACACTGACCTCGAACTGTGTTTAAATGCTTCACATTGGGATGGATTAACGCAATATTTTCCCGCCTGAATGGTTAACCAGCGCGTTCGCGCGAATTTCTCGCATTCTCTTCCAATTCCACGTTGAAAAAGGGAAGTTTAATAGTACAATATGTATTAATTTTAGCATACCTGGAGCTCTTTATAAAACTTTAGAGCATACATATGGTCTCTGGTAAATAATAAAAAAATTGGGACTTGAGGTGATTAAGTAAAAGTTGATAATGAATGAAAAAAATTGAGGTTTGTTGTGATGGAATTAATCTATTCGGATTGTTTTGCCAGAATGAGAGCTGCCACGATGGCACCAATTTCAATGAAGGCCAGAACCACAACACCAGCTCCAATACCAATGCTGTGCTCCCGCAGTTCGTGCGAAATCTTATCTACGCAGCCCTAAATTTGAGAGGAGACAAAATTTAGTCTTTCATTAACAAAGTAATAAATCAAATAAAGACAGCAGGATTTACGGGCATGAAAGCAGTAACACAGGATTTTCCATCCTTACAACAGTATTTCATAGATGAATTCCAATCATTTGGTCCATTGGCTCCACAACAGCCAAACTAATTACAAATAATCAGATTTAAAGGAGATGCCTACTGTGTTTTGCAGTTCTCTAACTGTGTCTTCGAGTGCAGTATTTGGAGTGCTTTCAACCTCTGAAATTGCTTTTGTGAAGAATTCTCTGATGAAGGGCTTGAATTCATTCCTTTTAACAAGCAGGATGACTCCACAGGCAATCTCAGCGATTATAATAAGAACCAAAATAGTGGCGAACTAGATTAAGGGCGAGATGGGTAATAATTACAGTTATCGATCTTACCATTCGTAGGAGACATTTACTCTTCTTCCAAGCTCCCACACATCCAAGAAAACCAGTGATAAATACCAGACATCCAATGACCAAGAATGCCACCAAAAAGATCATTAAGTTACTTGTCATATTGAACAACTTCGCCTCAACCACAAGGTAGATACCAAATCCTGCCATAATGCCACCCGCCACAAAGACGAGGAGGTTGAACACGATAAGAAGAATTCTCAAGAGTTTGCCTGTACAGGAAAGTGGCATTGTGTTCAATATTGTGCTTGAATGAAGTTAGCTAAGTGATCCTGTGTGCTCAGAATGTTGCTTAAATAGTGGCAATGCACCAATTGCAGAATACTCACATAATTCATTACAACAATCTAAGACAAAAGGCACAGTCCCAAGACCAACTTGATGTTTGATTTGTTACAATTATATTTGACGCATTAAAAATCTCACCCCCACAAATATATTCTCGAAGTTATACTGGTTCAAGGTAATCAATGAGGTTTAGTTTAATAACTATATGAATCATAGTTGCCTTAGGTTTAATCAGCGTTTATGAGTTGATCATACGGAATGCGATTTTTAATTCTTATTTTGAGGATACTCAAAGAAGATACGCATTGTAGCATAGCAATTTAATACTAAAACTGAGTTTTCACATCACCGATCTTTAAGTAGCATGTAATAAAGCAGGATTAGTTGTCGAACTTCGGAAAAATGTCACTACTTGTAATTTTAAATTTTTTAAATTTTTATAGTTCATAGACCAATCATGCAATCAATTGGCCAATTACATTAGACCTAAAGCAAGGTTTACATATATTAAATAAAAAACATTGGTGGTTAGACCATAGTCCACAGTTTAAAACTTAATTTTAACGATTGAGACCTTATAAACGAACTATACGCTAACAGCACCTATACTACACTATTTGGTATACTGAGAACCATCATATTTGAGATTAAAATCTTCCTTTATTTTGCGTTCAGACATCAAATTTAGAGTCATTGTCAATTCAACTAATCATTAATACTCATATCCAAATGAAAAATGCGACAAAAATGTTCAAATCTGCAATCATTTCGGGATTTTGACTGCCATTCGCTTCAATGGATACGGTGGCGTGGGCATTAATGACCTTCTTATGTCCTCAAGATTATCGGGTTGGTTCATCTAATCAGTTTTAATTGCCACATTAGAAAACTATGCTAATAACTGATGACGTTTCTCGAGAGGGTCCATTGGGCTTCTGTTGACATTTCCGAATAGGTTAATTGTTCAAGAATATTTTCAATCACAAATCTTGACTATTGAGACCCCACTTGATTGGAGAATTGCACGGACTATTGAATTTGACAATGACGTGGGCGTTAAATTCTTTCGATTAGAATTGGTACTTTGTCTGATCAAACCATTATCGCACAAAGAAGGATTACACAACACATCATTTATGTGAAAATATAAATGATGTTTAGGTGCTACAGTGAAATAAGCCAAAGCTATGGAATTAATTTCTATGCTGTTAATAACCATTACAAAGTAGAGCTGATTAAGGAATTACTGAAGAATATTGCATTCAAGAATTTTTAATGCTTACGCATAGATCCAATGGTTCAAGATGTAAAGAGAGGGAACGAGGAATGTAATTCGTTGTTTCAATTTAAAACGCATTTCTATCAATCAACACAAGCTCATTACATCTATGGAGGTCCTACTTGCTTCTATACAATTGCCCTAAATTCAAGCGTTGAAATAGATCGTTAGATATCTCCTTATACCCAGACTTATTCTACTTCTCCCTCCAACATAAATGAGCTTGGAATCCCATCTAATCTTTTTGTACTTTATTCTTCATTTTTCTGCGAAATATAAATCTCTCCAAGTGGTTATTCAGGCTTTTATGAAGATAACTCTCATGAAATTCGGAAATATTTATTTATTTATTTTAAATGGCAGGCGTTTTGATAGCTATCATTAGCCCTTTATTTGACTCCGGGGTTCACAGAGGGAAGGTTAATCAAAGTAGCGGAAAGTCGAGGGGTGGGGAACAGAAGATCGATTCACAGATGTAAAAGAGGCAGACAGACACAAAGGCAGAGAAAAGGGTAAGATGAGTACTGTGGAAGCGGTCGAATATGACAAGCAGTCGTGCCATGGTATTTTGAAGTCAGAAGTCAACTGCCGGTTAATAGACTTTTTTGCCGTATGAGTATACGTTGCCCAGAGTGCACCACGTGGAGGTAAGTCTATCGCACACCCCAGTTCGGAAATATTATTACTATTATTTGAAATCGCAGGCTTTATGATATTAATCATTAGCCCTTTAGGTGACTTCAGCTTTCCCCATGAGGGGGGGGGGTTACATATATTGCAGTTAATTAATAGCAGTTCATTAGCTGTCTTCTTGCTTCCCAGTATCTCCGGCTTTCCGTCATTGTCTTTAGTGATGGACAACGAATCAGGTGGGTCTTCTCCAATTCCTCCTGTGGGTGATATAGGGGGCATGTGGGTTGAGTGTATTCTCCAAATCTGTGAGGGTGTTTTGCCAGGCAACCGTGACCGGTACGTAGTCTAAACTCAGCAACGGCTTCGATTCTTGGCCAGTCGGGTATGTCGGAGAGAGCCACTGTCCACTGTTTCTCCTTTGTTCGAGCTTTAATTTCGTTGCACCTTGAGGTCTTGAATTCTCTTCTAATTAAGGTTTTCATTGTGTGGAAAGACATCGACAGGGTCTATGCCTAGCAAAATTGTTGTACCCTTCTTAGCAAGTGTGTCAGCAAGGTCATTGCCTTTAATGCCACAGTGATCAGGAATCCATTGTAGTACCACTATTTTGTTTTTTTCTCTCAGCAGCTAATACAATTTTTTGCNGTTAGTTATTGAAGGATATGGAAGTTTGTAATATGCTCTAAAG